TTCTCTTTGCGCTTCAGAAAGCCATTGTGCGTTTGTCTTGCCACGTCTAAGTGAGTAGCTGGTGTTGCAGTTGCAGTGCTAGCTGCTGTTCCTCCTGCTCTTGTGACCTGTCGGCTTATTTTTCTTGCGGGTTCGCAATGGCGTTGACTAAAGTAGACTCATCTACATGTTAAACCAGGATTGGGATTCTGTGTGGAACTTCAATTCAAGCGGCAGTGCAGTTTTGGAACCCTTTTCCATCCTTTTCCTGTCGATGGCCGCAGTATGTATGGTGTGAGAGGCCACAGTCACAGGGCACAAAACCTTGACACACACGCAAGCACTCTCTCTCTCTCTCCCTCTTTCTCTGGCTTCCTCCCGTCTGTCTCTGTATGTCGTTATCACTCCTCCCTCCCTTGGGTAATACATGACTGTAACACAACAATGAATCAACCATGTTTTGCTCTCATCTGCGACTCCCATCTTGCCCATGGCATTTCAATTGTTTTGTATGACACTGTTTGCGCCATGTATGAAAGTTCATTGAAACGTAAAGGTCCACAAATGCATCAGCTCACCGTGGTCATTACGATTTCCACGGACTTGCAAGCATGTCATGCATCCCTGTTCCGAGCCTTTCCCAAGTGCACTGTCCCTGAACAAGGCAAAAAGGAGGAAGTGACTGCACAGCTGAAAATCCTTGCAACAAACTGGTTTGAACTAACGCTCTGTTGAACTTATTGAACTTGCTGTTCTGCATCATGCACTTCGGACCATGCACCAGCAACATCCAGCAACTTCATGTGAATCAGTACATATACGGTAGATTACAATGAAGTAAACATGACACAATGATACGCTCTTGTTGTGCTGACTGGATCTCCACCAGAGCTTCCAAAGTGGTGCCCAGTAGCTCCAAACTACACCCACACATGTCTCCGCAGTTACCCCCAGTTATATTTCACCGACCTCTATCCAACCTGAGGTCCATCCGACTGCCCACAGCTCTGCCACCTTGGGAGAAGATGGCACCGCCAATGTCGGCATTGCACCCTTTGAAGCGTGTGGTTCCCAAAATGGCGACCCGATTTTCGCCTGGCGACGAACACGCACAAGTCCGGTTTCGGCCGGGAGTGAGGCCTCAGACCGACTTGCACGTGGTGGAGGTCGGGTTGACCGACAGGTCACTGGAAGAGCTGGGTGGATTGCCATGTTTGGAAGCAGGGAATGACAAATCAAGAGACCGATGGCCAGATTTTTGTCTGCACATTTAGCATTGGTTCCTACTATTGAAAAAACCCTCATCGCGCATGGTTTCCGATGACCACGCCGACTTGCAGCGTTCCATCGCACCCTTCCTAGCCACATGGTGCAGTGCAGGGCACATATACTGGAGGTAGAAAGTGAAAACATGAAGAAAAAAAGGTTTAGAAACCCAATGATCCCCACCCTGAGCAGCGCACATGAATTCATGTATTGATAGACTATCCCACACAGACGTGTCCATTGGCAATGTTCTGACACTTGTTCCGACGTCAAGTCTGGTGAGTGTCCTGGCACATCATCTATCATAACGGCTGGGGTATGTTCTGAAATGTGTTCTTGGTATGTATTCTGACATTTGTCCTGCGTGTAGCCTGACACGGGCTCTGGCATGTGTTGTGACATTTGGTCCTGCTTTGGTTCTGACGCAGTATGTGTTCTGACATGTATTCTGCCACACATTCCGACAATTGTTCTGCTACCAAACCCGCCACTTCCTTCGACATGTGCTTTGATTTGGCCTTCTATATGGGGCTTGAAGAGACATTCTAACTGGCATATCTTCTGGCTTGCCACCTGGCAAAACTGACATCTTTTCTGGCAAGCTATCTGGCATATCTTCCGGTAAGTCTTCTGGCAATAAATCTAACATCCTTATTCTATCTGGCAGATATTCTGACACCCTTCCTGGCATATTTGCTGACAACCCTTCCGAAATTCTACGTGCCAAATGTTCTGGCATGTCAACTGCATATCTTCCGACATCCTTTCCCACTTTCTACCAGCAATCTGGCATATCTTCTGACATTCCAACTGTCATTTCTTGCGACATCCTTTTCGACATTCTATCTGGCAAATCTTCCGGCATTTTTTCTGACATTCTACCTGGCATATCCTCTGACATCCTTTCTGGCATATTTTCTTACATCTTTTGTATTCTTTTGTGGCATATCTTCTCCCGTCCTTTCCGGCATTCTATCTGGCACATCCTCTGACATTCCAACTGGCAAATCTTCTGACATCCTTTCTGATATTCTTTTGGGTGTGCCAACTGGTCTATCATCTGACATCCTCTCTAGCATTCTTTGTGTCATATCTTCCAGCCGATTCGCTGGCAAAAACTCGGACATCCGTTCTGGCATATCTTCTCACTTTCTCCAAGCATATATTTTGGCATCCTTTCCGGCATTCTGTCTGGCATTATTATTCGGGCAATACACCTGGCATACCTTCTGACATGGACATCTCGGTGACATCTTTTCTGGCATTCTAACTGGCATATCGTTTGTACTCCGACTTTCCATCTGGAATGGTTTGTGTTCCAGGTCCATGCGTGCCCAGCTTCAGCTGGCAGTTGCTGTGACATCCAGAAGGAGGCTGATGTGGAGGACGCGGTCGGGGTTGCACTCTTTCATTAAATCCAAACACCCTCACTTGGCAAGTGGGGAACAAGAATTACACGGTGACAACAGCGTTACAGGCCCCTGTGTTTTTTGGACATCAGCATTGGTCCTCGATTCAGGAAAATGTGCCCTTTGCGAAGGAAAATGCAGAATTGTGGAGGTCTCAAATCTACTAAGAAGGTCCACACGGTCACACGCTTTTCATGTTCGGTGTTTTCGACATTGCAGATTATAGTAATATAAATATATCTCGCAGCAATTGCAGTGCCTTTTGTTGAAGCAAACATCTTGCCGCACAAGTTTCAGCATTTCTTTGGAACCAACTTTATGGTTCATGAATATTGAGTTCATGGGGCGAAATTGAAGATGCAGACATCGAGGATGCCAAAGAAGTGCAAACAGTCATGAACATGAAGTTCATGAGACGAAGATGAAGTTCCAATACGGATGATGCATTCCCCAGCTGTTCATGAAAAAAGTGAAGTGCAAACAGTCATAGACATGAAGTGCGTGAGACGAACATAAGGTGAAGTGAATGAAACAAAAAATGTGAAGCAATTACTTTACTTCGAGTGGTCCCCACCATGGCATTTCAATTCTTGAAGCCATGGTGAGGAGCATGTTGCCATGCTCGTGCGTATTGTAGTTCTCGATTTTGCTTGTGGGTCCTCGGGTTGTGTGCTGTGGTTGTGTGTTGTGCTTGTGGTTGTGTGTTTGTGGTTGTGTTTGTGGTTGTGTTTGTGGTTGTGTTTGTGGTTGTGTGTTTGTGATTGTGTTTGTAAGTGGTTGTCTTTGTGATTGTGTGTTTGTAGTTGTGGTTGTGGTTGTGTGTTTGTGGTTGTGGTTGTGTTTGTGGATGTGTTTGTGGCTGTGTGTCTGTGGTTGTGTGTTTGTGGTTGCGTGTTTGTGGTTGTGGTTGTGTTTGTGGTTGTGGTTTTGTGTTTGTGGTTGTTGTGTTTGTGGTTGTCTTTGTGGTTGTGTGTTTGTGGTTGCGTGTTTGTGGTTGTGTGCTTGTGGTTGTGTGCTTGTGGTTGCGTGTTTGTGGTTGCGTGTTTGTGGTTGCGTGTTTGTGGTTGTG